GTGGGCCGAGGCCGTGGCCTCCCTTTGTGCCGTTTTGCTAGTGTGCATGGGGCCCGTGTGCTGGACCCAGTCCCAGACGACCTCCTCTCTCTCTCCCGGGCAAACAAACCCGTCGCGCAAATGGTCATGCCAAACGGGTCATTATGAGCCCGTCCTGCAGCATCCCACCCCCCACCCCCCGCGCCGCCCCTATCCCTCTCGCTAGCTGGAGAGAGGTCGCGGCGCGGCGCGCCGGGGAAGCCAAACTTCCCCCTTGTCCAGAGAGTTTCTCTGCGCGAAGTCATCTGGAGAAGAAGGAGAGCAGGCGGCGGCGGCATTGTAGCGGAGCAGTTCCTTTTCAGCGCCCCACCCCCGCCCAGCCTAGCCTAGCCCAGCCAAGCCCAGCTCCGCACCGCCCCACCCGGACCGCACGCCCCCGCCTCTCGCCACCCTGCAAACGAAAGGCCTTATCTTGGGGGGCCGGTTTCTAAGGCCGCCTGACGGGCGAAGCGATGTCTGACTGAAGTGTTGCCTACATGCTGGCGCACACGCGCGGGCTACATTCAGACGTTTCATTTGAGACCGCCCTCATCACGCCACCCTTTTAAAACTGCCCCTGGCAGTTGCTGGAGTGGCCCTTAACTCCAGACTGGTGGGGCGGGGGCTGTGGTGTACAGGTGTGCCGTGCAGACCATCCACTCTACTCCTCCTCCTTGCCCCTAGCCATGCGCCTTGTCAAAAATGACAGAAATGAAAACAATAAGGGGCGAGCTTTGAAAAAAACTCCAACAGCACACTAACAATTTTTTTGAAAAAGAAAATTCACCTCTTTTTTTGTCCGTTATGCTGAGTTTTACGTAAAGTTGTCGACAGAAGGGTGCCTTTGAAATCGACTGCTGTGAAAAGATGACGGCAACGTCAAGTTTCGTTGAGCTTTTCCCGGTTCGCGGGGGACAAAGCCGAAAGAAAATAACAAATGGAGAGCAGCCGGCGGAAACAAAGCAGGGCTGGGAATATAGCCCTGCGGGCTCGCCCGTGGGCGCGGGTCGGGATGTGCCACTGCCAGGCGCAGCGCCATGCGCAGCGCGCCGCGGCCCGGGGCGAGGCTTAGGAGGAGCCCGGTTCCGAGCCGGAGGTATCCAGCGCACGCTACGCACGTACCGGCGCACAGGCTGGGGGCGAGATCAGCCAGAGACACAACGCCTGGACTGGCCACGCCGCGCCACGCCTCCGAGCCCATCAGTCAGTGTCCGTGTGCCGGTGCCGTGTGGGCCGTGCACTGCGGGGCGGGGCGGGGTCCAGGGCGGGGCCGTCCTCAGCATCCATCATGGCATCATGGCGCTCGGAGGGATGGCTTCCGAGCGCGCCGCCAGGCGGGTGAGCTGCTGGAGCTGGCCTATGGTCTGGGGCTCCTCTCCTGGAACTCCTTGTAGAATCCCTTTTGGAAACCCTCCTGAAAATTCTTCTGGAACCTCTCCTGGAACCCCTCCTGGAGTTTCTCCTGGAATCCGTCCTGGAACCCCTCCTTCGGAACCCTCCTGGAACTCCTCCTGGAGTTTCTCCTGGAATCCGTCCTGGAACCCCTCCTTGGGAACCCTCCTGGAACTTCTCCTGGAGTTTCTCCTGGAACCCATCGTGGAACCCCTCCTGTAACCCTCGCGACGCCGGGCTGGAGGAGATGACTCCCGTGCACGCCGCTTCTCTGCTCCAGCAAAGAGGGGGTGAGCTGCTGAAGCGCTGGGCGTGGGGCTCATCTCCTGGAACCCCTGCTCCTGGAACCGCTCCTGGAACCCTCGCGGCGCCGTGCGCGCAACCAGCTGCGTGTGACGGCTTTACAGTGTGGCGCCGAGCACGCCGCACCACACAGCGCCGCAACACAGCGCACGACGGCGTCGTGTCTTTAATCTCCTTGAGAGCGCCGTGGCGGCGGCGGGAAAGGCAAAGCTAATCTCAATTCTGATTTGAATTCACTCGGCAGGAAGCTTTCCAAACTAAACAGGCAGGCGGCGGGGACAGAGAGCGAGAGAGCCGCCTCATCCAGAAACATGACTGTGGCTGCGGGGGAGTGGCGGAATGGCAGAGGCTTCTGCGCGTTGCAGCGAGCCTTTAGTTTTACAGGAAAAGTAAATAATCGCTCGCACGGTCTCTCCACTCAGAGCGGAGCGTCTTATTCATTTTTATTACGAAACATAAACTTTTCTGCTTCTCATTCTCTCTTCTCTCTCTTTCTCTTTTTCTCTGTCTCTCTGTCTGTCTCTCTCTTTCTCTCTCTCTCTCCGTCTCTTTCCCACTCTCCCTCTCTTCCCTCTTGGCACCACTCCGCGGCCCGCCGACAGGCAGAAAGGTCGGCGCGAGTGCGAAATGAAAAGTTAAACGGGACTGCATCTTTTATTCCCTTGGCGTCAGCCGAGCTCAGCCTCAAGCTCACCGCGCTGCGCTGAGCGAGGCGGGCGGGCGGGGCGCCCGTGAGGTTAGGCCGCAGCCGGGCGCGCACGTGATGCGGGCTGCCTGCCGCCCGGCCGCGGGCGCTAGAGGGGCTGGGCTGGCTGGCGGGGCTGACGCAGCTCAGCGGGCAGTCGCTATTGCTGGGACCTCAATAAAAGGATGACGATCAGTATCCCCACGTGCAGACTCATCATAATCATTTCTCTCCCTTCCCTTCCTGTCTTCCCCGCATCCCCCCCCCCTCTCTCCCCCTTCTCTCATCAGTCCCACCCCTCTTCCACTCGCCTGTCCGATATCTCTATCTTCTCGTGCGACCCGCGGGACAACCACGCCGCCGCCTCCCGCATTTTTTCTCTCTCTTCCTCTTCCTTTGGAATCTTTTTCTTCCCTTGCTGTCTTACCCGCCCCCACTCGCGCTCGAGTATTGAGATGCCGAGGCAGGCAGACGTCGCCCTTTCCTCAGCCCCCCCCCCCCCCCCTCCTCTCACTTCCTCCGCCCACGGGAAGGCTTACGCAAAAGACAGTCGCTGGACCAAGAAAAAGTATTCTGCTCGGTATTATGATCGGTCGCGCGGGATATGGCGCGTCAGCGAGTTTTCGGAACTGAGTGATGAAAGGAGGCGAAGTAATAATAATAAAAAGAGAGAGAGAGTTGGAAGGAATAAAAGCAGTGTTAACGAGAAGCACGATGAAGTGGAAAGCTCGAAAGCCTCTCGACCGGCCGACTCATTCCGATATCCGGCGGAGGGGTTGGGGGTTGGGAGAGGGGTGTGGAAGGGGAGAGGAGGGGCGGGGGTCTATAGAACCCACCCCAGCAGCGCGCGCTGATGGGGCTGACCGCATCAAAGCGGCAGTAGCGGCGGAGCTGCTGGCGAGAAACGAAATTAACAGCAAAGCAGAGAGAGTGAGAGAGAGAGAAGCAGCTGAGTTCTGATGATGGTGGAATTGGAATCACCCCGAGATTGCCGCGAGTTGAGCCCCGCCCCCCCTCAGCTGGGCCGAGCCGCGCTCGGGACTGAACAAGGGTCCGCAGCTGTGGTGCGACACCACGAGCTGCGCTAAACTACAAGCTCCTCCTCGATGCGTGTACTCTACCCAGCCGCGGCGGAGGGCCTAAGGCTTCGCCTGCCGGTGGCTTTCAGCCTGAACTGTAAATTTAAGTACACTGAGCACCTCGATTGGATGGATTGCCTACACTGTAAATCCGGGGTGTCCAGCAGGCAGGCGACAAAGTCGCCTTACCCGCAAAACTTTTTGCCTGTCCCACCGTTAGCAGGCGCCTGACTGCGTAGGCCACCTGCTTCGCTTGGGTGCACGCCTGCCGAGACGTTGCCTATCCCACGGCCGGCAGGGGCCTTGCCGGGTAGGCTACCAGGGTAGGCCACCAGCTCTTCTCGAATGCACGCCTGCCGAGATATTGCCTACACTGGATTTCCTAGGCAAAGGGGTCTACAGATTCTCTTCGATCGTCAAACTTTTACTGCGGAGAAAAAATTGCACGGCCCGCACATGTCCCACGAACCCAACGACATTTTTGTGGCTGGTAACAGCATGATTAATTAATTTGTCATTTAATCAATTGATTGACTAATTAATTCTTCATTTCCTTTGAGTTTTCCGACGCGTGTACACCCCCGCCTTCGTCGCCCTGCTGACAATGTCGTGATGAACTCCGAGCGGTGCGTCCATCTTCTGCTGGAGCTGGAGGCCCTGATTACAGACGGCTGCCGCGCCCCAGAGCCGTCCAGATTAATTGATTTAGGAGGGGGAGCCTCAAGTTGGGAGTCGTCGTCCTCCTGGAGGCGTCACGCCCCCCTGCTCCCCTCTCTCCACCCCGTGTGGGCCGTGCACTGCGGGGCGGGGCGGGGCGTGGTGGAGCGGGGCGGGGCGGGGCCACCCGATCAGCTTAGCCTCCTCTGCCTGGTGCGGGTCCCGGAGGCGAGGTTCTCACCCCCGCGCCCTCCCTGTGGTGTCTGTTGTGTGTCGACCGCCCTCCTCTACAACTGTGTCTGTCTCGTGTGTTGCAGGATGCGGGAGTTCGTGGAGGAGAACGAGAAGAGTGACCCCCTGATCCACGCACCGGACAAGAAGAACAACCCCTGGGCGGAGAAGGGAAAGTGCTCCATAATGTAAACGGCAGGCGTCGCCCCTTCCAGCGCCCCCATCATCCCCTCTATCTTCTCGTGCGACCCGCGGGACAACCACGCCGCCGCCTCCCGCATTTTTTCTCTCTCTTCCTCTTCCTTTGGAATCTTTTTCTTCCCTT